GATAATTTCTTGAAAGATGATGTCTAGGCTCTTTTTTTGATCATGGCTTTCAATAGTCTAATAATTTTTAAATTCTCTCTCCTGGATCAATTTTCCAGGTCAGTTGTTTTTCCAATGAGATATTTCACATTGTCTTCTAATTTTTCATTCTTTTGGATTTGTTTTACAGTGTCTTGATTTCTCATAAAGTCACTAGCTTCCAATTGCTCTGTTCTAATTTTTAAGGAAGTATTTTCTTCAGTAATCTTTTGGACTTCATTTTCCATTTGTCCCATTTTGCTCTTTAGAGCATTCTTCTCTTCATTGGCTTTTTGGACCTCTTTTGCCATTTGGGTTAGGCTATTTTCTAAGGTGTTATTTTCTTAAGCATTTTTTTGGGTCTCCTTTAGCAAGCTGTTAACTTGCTTTTCATGATTTTCTTGCATCACTCTCATTTCTCTTCCCAGTTTTTCCTCTACTTCTCTTACTTGCTTCTCAAAATCCCTTTTGAGCTCGTCCAAGGCTTGGGACTGATTCATATTTTTCTTGGAAGCTTTGGATGTAGGAGCTTTGACTTTGTTTTCTTCTTCTGGTTGTATGTTTTGATCTTCTTTGTCACCAAAGTAAGATAATATAGTCTGACTCTTATTGCGCTGCTTGCTCATGATCCCAACCAATTACTTGAATTTTAAACTCTTTGTTAAGGTAAGAGTCTGTTTCCAACGTGGAGAATGTACTGTCCTAAGCTTCGGGGGTTTGTACAGCTGTTTTCAGACATACTTCTAGGGACCTGAAAAGTGTCAGTTCTTCCAAGGTGGTATGATAAGGGTCGAGGTGTTTCCTCTCCACAGCCACAACAAGCTCTACCGCACTAGCGTTCCTCCTTGCCCCACAACCGCCCCTCAGAACTGTGACCCAGATCCAAGCACAGGCAAAGCAAGAGATTCATGCCTCAGCCCTGGCAAAGAGATCCCTGCAATTCCCCTCTGATCAGTCACTGGATTCCCCCTCGGTCTGTGGACCGGAAGCTCAGAAGCCAGCCGCTGCCCTTGGGGCAGCTGAGACCTAGCTTCTTCTCTCACCACAGTAACAGACTTTTCCCACTGACCTTCTAAGTTGTGTTTGGCGTTTGTGGGTTGAGAAGTCTGGAAACTGCCACAGCTGCTAGCGATTCAGATCTCTGAGGCCTGCTCCTGGTTCGCTGAGCCCACACTGAACTGTGCTCCTCTCCCTGCCCGGCGCGATATACCTTTCTGATCAGCCATCCAGGTTGTCTTGGGCTGGAAATTTGTTTTACTCTGTTTTTTTTGGGGTTCTGCTGCTTTAGAATTTGTTTAGAGCCATTTTTTGTAGGTATTGGGAGGGGTTTGGGGGACAGCTCTAGCAAGTCATTGCTTTCCCTCCACCATCTTGGCTCCCTGCACTGAGTCTTGAAGGAAGCCAGGGATTCTAAGAAGTGGCGGGTCAGGAAGGTGAGAATTCTAGATTGGGGGACAGCCAATCAAAGTCATGGGGACAGCATATGGAGTACTGTGTTCGAGGTGGAGAGAGTAGGCCAGTGTGGCTGGATTGCAGAGTAGAGGGGAAGTAAATCGGAAGGCGGCTGGAAAGGTAAATTTGGGAATAGCTTTAAATGCCAGAGCAAGTGGCCTTAGATAACTTAAGATCCCTTCTGGCTCTAAATCGACTATCGAACACAGGGGCAGCTAGGTCACACAGTGGATTGAGCACCCACCCTAGAGTCAGGAGGACCTGAGTTCAAATGTGACCTCAGACACATGATACTCACTAGCTGTGTGACCCTGGGCAAGTCATTTAACCTCAACTGCCTCACCAAAAAAAAAAAAAAAAAGAGAGAGAGCGAGCACTGGATTGACAAGCAGGAGACCTATGTTCAAACTGACTTTAATCAAGTCACTTTTTCACTCTTTGCGGGGTTTAGTTTCCATCTACAAAATGAGGAGACTGGCCCCTTTCAGCTCTAAATTCTTTGATTCTCTGTCACTGACTTGATTAAGGTTGCTTTCTGGATGGATGAGAGGCATTGATTGGTATGGATGGAGTCCTGGAGGAAGACTTGGGTTTGAATCTTGCCTCAGCTTAGCAGCTTCCCCCAACCTAATGTCTTTGAGCTTGTTTCATCTACAAAGCGAGAATGATGGCACCTGTTTCACAGGGTTGTTATGAGGATCAAATGAGCTAATGTATGGAAAATGTTTTGGAAAACTTTAAAGCCCTGCAGGAAGCTGTGCTGTTATTATTAGAACCTGTGTGAAGGTGCCTTCCAGCTGACAGTCTGATTCTGGCCCTGTCTTTGTAGAAGATCAAATACTTGCATGTAGATCTAGAAGCAGGGGTGGGGTGAGGGAGAGCCTAGAAAGATGCAGGCTGCCTTTGGCAAAACCTTTCCCGAGCCTTTGAGAGTCACTGCCAGAGGCCAGGCAGGGAAGAGAGTTCTCTAAGCCACTGGTTCCCAGGCCAGATCACTAGGGGCACAGAGGGGTTAGCTTTAAATCCCAAAGCTCAGCAGAAAAGGGCATTATCACCCTCAGCTGACAGTACAGCCACTGAATTCCTTTCAAAGCCAACCTCCAAGCTTACTTTACACGAGCATCAGCTTCCTTCCTCTAAAAACTGTCTGTGACTCCTAACCTGGCCCTTGTCCTAGGAGCTTCCCTCCTAAACCCTGGAAATGAGTCAGAGGCATAGAGAGAGGAACCTGTAATAGCAATGAAACCAAACAGTAATAGCAGTAAGTTCTAGAGCTGAAAGAACACCGGGAAATCATTGATTCCAATCCCTATATACATAGGAATAAAGGAAGGCCCACATGAGATTGTGACCTGTTCAAAACTGCACACAGTAGGTAGGCAAGCTGCGGTTCAAGACTGTGTCCTCCGGCTTCAAATCAGCTTCATTCCATGATTTCCACGTACATGTGGTATGTGTAGCAAAGGTAACTGAAGCTAATGTATATATCATGTATCTACCTATATCTGTCCATCCATCTATCTATATTGTATCCCATCCCATAAAATGCAAGCCTGAGAACAGAAACTGTTTCATTTTAATCTTCATACCTAACACAATGCCTGGCACATAGTGAATGATTAATAAATGCTCCACTGATCCAATTTTCATGCTATCACAGTCATAAGCTGGTGAGCTGGGCAGGTGGGTATTAACTAGAGCTTCAGAACCAAGCTCAGAATTCAGATGCAATGGGAGACCTGGGTTTGAATCCTCACAGAGACATTACCTGCACCTTACAGGGCCAGGTAGGAGTTAAGTGCTTTGAAAACATGAACTGATGCTCAAGGCCTCCTGAGCCTCAATGCTGGATGCAATAGCACAGCCAACTAGAAAAAGCATGTAACCTGGAGTCAAAGAGAGAGGGTTCCAATCTTCTGGAGCTTCTAGTAGTTGACCATGGGTCAGTAACTTCATCCTTCCAAACCTTTTTCCTCATCTGAAAATGAATTTAGTATTGTCTATCCTAGAGGACTGTCACCATATTTAAAGTGCAGAATACATGGAAAGTCCTCTGCTAACCATACGAGATGTCAACTGTCTCAACTTCAAGGCATGCCAAGTGTTATCTCCTGCGACGCTCAGAGCAGGCCAGGTATGAAGGCTCTGCTGCAGCCCTCATTTTATGGAGGGCTTGCCCATGGTCACACAGCCCAAAGCTCCAGATGTCCAGGTCTCTCCTAAATTTGGCCATCCTTCCAGTATACCATGCTTCTATTTGTAAATCACCCTGCCCCCCACATTCCCATGCTAGACAGCTGGATAAAGCAGGTGATTGGAAAGGATTTCAGTCTCAAAGGAAATTACCTTACATTTTGCAACTCCCAACAGAAAACTACTTAAAACTCTCCCTGTGCGGCCTGGGTTAAGGAAGTCACACCTCTTGGATCCTATTACCTAATTTGCAGAATGAGGCATTGGACTAGATTAGGCTAGGGAACCTTCAGCCTCAAGGCCACATGTGGCCCTTTGACTGAATCTAAACTTCACAGAACAAATTCCCTCGATAGAAGAATTTGTTCTATAAAACTCAGACTCAATCAAAAGGTAGTACCCAAGGACCTAGAAGGCCACAGATTCTCCACCACTGACCTAGATATCTTTCAAGGTCACCTCTATTTCTTTGCCATTGAACACAGGCCTTCCTTTTCTATTTCACTCATTTCAGACGGAGGTTGTTGGGAATATTTCCTCCAGGGTTTAGTGTGAGCACTTGCTGGCCAAGAGTTACCTCAGGACTGATATAAGTAGCAATGCTTGTCTTTAGAGAGGAAGACTGATAGTTTTGTGAACAAGGGACCTTAAGAATTCAAGGGTCCTCTTCAGTATATCAACTCCTTGAGGATAGACACCAGTTTATTTTTTGTATCCCCACAATTTAGCACATAGTAGGTGTTTGACAAATGGTTATGTTGACTGGAAGTCTTCAAGCAGAAGGTAGATGACCATTTGTTAGTGATGTTATACAAAAAATTACTGGTCAGCTTCAGGGTTGGACTAGATGGGTATAGATAGAGGACCAAAAAATTCTATCTCAGGTAAGCTCTAGAGCAGGAAAACAGCAGGCATTTACCCTATTTTGAGAAGGATAAAAAAAAATCTACTTTAAAAATTTTTATAAGGATTACTCCGCATAGAAATTCCACAGGTAGAACTAGGAACATAGTGACATTAGTTAACTCAGGTAACTATTACTTCTCAACCAACTGCTTGGTTTTTAATGTTTGATTGAACTGTACATAGGCCTTCCAAGGGGGTGGTGGTAAGGACCACTGTACAATTAGTTAGATAGCAATCAAAAGCCCTGGAACGCCTGGAAAAGTCAGCTTGAGGGTCTCTTATCAAGGACTAAGTCTTCAGGCCCTGAAAAGCCAAGTTCCCCTGGTCCCTTCCTTCTGGCCCTGGGTAGTACCCCAGCCCATCCTACTCCTTCCAGTCCCCTCCCTCCAGCTCTAGAATACCCCTGAAACAGAGTCGTGGGAAAGCTCTCCTGTGGTTTAGCATCAGTCTTTAATCCTGACGTACTGCACATTGACAAGTCATATGCTTTGGTCTCATGTCTGCAGCAGCAACCTTACAATTAAATCTACAGGCCTGAGCACCAGACCCATTTCCAGGGAAGAGACAAAGATGTTCCCAAAAAAAAAACCAAAAAAAAAACCAACCCCAAAAATTTCATTTTAATTCCAACATGGCCCCACACAGACAGCAGCAGCTGTAATGCATTGGGTTTTTTTTTTAAGTGCACACCAAATTTATACAGATTTATACAAAAATTATTTACAGAAGTTCCATGGTGCTCCTGTATCAGAAGCAAAGACCCTTTTATCAAAAGGGATTACAACTAGGGCTATGCTAAATTCAAAAGGATTGGATCCCTTTGAGAGAGTCCAGAGTCCATTTGTTCAGATTGGGTCAGGGGTTTAAGGGATTTGAAGGGTCAATGCTAAATCCTGTACATCCCAGGTGGGCCAAGAAGAGGAAAAGACAACAATGGACCCCAGTCTATGAATGGGCTAATAGAGAAATGACTACAGAGAAAGAATTAGAATACCCCACTGGTTACCTAAGTCAAGTTTCCCATTTTCTCCCTTTCTGTTGGCTTTTGGACACCAGTAAAGCAATTCCGAAGGTAAATTATAAGGTTTCAATATGGGACAGCACGAAAGGATGTAATTATTTTTGGAAGCAAAAACGAGACACGTGAAGACAAAGCTGGAATAAAATACATATCAGTAACACCACAAACAGCAATGAGGAGCAGAAATGGTCTTGCAACCATGACTGTACTCCAGGCAGACATCAACTAACACTAAGAGCCAAAACTGCTAAAGAACAGCAGAGTCCAAATGTGGGTCTAATGTTTTCCATCTAAAAAAGGGAGTGTGTATATAGGGGTAGTTGACACAGCTCAGCGTGTGAGCTAGAGATGACAGAATACTTGGATTGTTCCTGGGAAAAGGGGTAGGAGGTTAGTTTTACTGGCACCACTTAAAGAGGGTCAAATTCCTTGGAATGCTTGTGTACTACCCCATTACCTGTGAACCTACTGTTTGAAAAACCACTGAAGCCTAATATGCAAGACTTTTAAAGACTGTAATATATTCTCTGGAAACATTCAGCATATGAAAACCCTCTGTGGTCCCTCCCACCCTGGGGGCCCACAACTGTTGGAGATGGTCCAGAAAACTTTGAGCTTTGAAAATGTCCTTGGTTCAGTCCTTGGAGAACAGAGATTGCTATATAGGCAGGATCTGCTCCAGGACGGTTCTTGAAGACTGGGGAATTCTGTCAGGGAAATTCACTTCAAACTCAATAATGAGGTCCCCACGTTTTTCTGGTGTTTTGGGGAGGGGAAGGCCTTCTCCAGGAACCTTCCGCCTCATTCCAGGCCTGATGACATCCTTGAACACTATGGGTATGGTCCTGCCATCCAGCGTTGGGACATTCACTGTACAGCCACACAGGGCCTAAAAGCAAACACATATGATTAAACAGATGAACTAAAAGGGAGAGAATTCTTCTCTAAAGACAGCTTCTAGGGCTTACAAAGACTTTGACTGGGTAGGGATGACTCTTTGCTGAGGTTAGTTGCTAAGGCTTTCTCTTCAATGTGTTTTATATGAAAACTCCTGTCCTGTTTCCAGAAAGTGTGGCACTGTTTGCACAGATCTGCATGGCTAACTACATACAGACAATCAAAACATGTGATTCCTCTCTAAATTGTGCTGAGAGATGTTTATGTCTCCAGTAAGACAGCATAGTATATATACAGATGGTACACTAAACTTGGAATCAAAAGACCTGGTTTTCATTACTGATAGTCACTTTCAGGCCACAGGTGTCTTTCTCTAATGTCACTAAACTCCAAAATTCTATGACTAAACCACAGCTGTATGTTTATACTGGTCCTGCCTTACCTCACGGAGGGTGATCCTTGCTGGGTAAATCACGTCAGACCCATCTCTCTTAAATATATTGTGGGGCTTGTCCTTTAAAACAAAGACAATGTCAGCTGGAATGTTGGTTGAAGTTTGGTCCCCCTCTTTTGGGAAGGTAATCTTGGTCCCCTCTTTCCACCCTCTTTTCACTTCAATGGTCAGAATCTTGTCCTCATTGCGGATACTCTTCCCATCGGGGTTAAGCCGCTTGTGGGAGATCTTCATCTTTTTGGTACAACCACTATAGATCTCCTCAAGTGAGACCCGAAGGTCGTGGGTAACGGGGGGATCCTGTTTTCGACGGCTGTGTTCCTGGGCTGGACGGGGTCGGGTAAAGTTCACATTGGGAAAACCACCCATGCCCATTGGGAAGCCAGAAAATGGGTCATCAACGTCCATGCCTTCTTCCCCGTTTTGTTGACCAAAAAAGGTGTCAAAAGGGTTTCGGCCACCAAAGAACTGAGCAAACATGGCATGAGGGTCCCCGTGGAAAGTGTAGCTGAAGGAAGCGCCGTTAGGACCAGTACTGCTACCGCTACTAGGACCACCACCCTTCAGTCCTGAAAAAGGAAAAATAAGAATTCAAATTGTTGGCCAAACAAAACAGCTCTTCTTGCCCTAGAACTCCCTCTTCCCCAAGTAAGGAGAGAGAACCTGGCCATCATTAGGGAACTAAAAAGCACTGCTTTTCTGCCCCATTTTCTATACTCCTGTTTTTTCCCATTTACAAACTCTTATTTCAGGACAGAGAGACAGTATGTTAGCTATAAATAGGAGGATGAAGATGCTAGGTTTTTGCATCCTAGCCTTGGACTGCTTAGCCTGTGAGGGAAATTGCTACAACATATTTTAGTGCTACCCTGGGAAATAAGGGTTGAGAATATAACAAGAGTATTATTAGCTTCTATTCTCCACACCTAGATTTCAGCCAGTTACTCCTTGAGGGCAATATATACAAGGTAACCCAAAAGTTTAAATGCAGTTTTAAGCTGTACTAGCTTAAATTTTCACTAAGACTTCCGTTGAATGCTCTGTATGATCCTTCCTTCTAAATGGCAAAATATGCAATTTCCAGTTGCTTAAAGTTAACCCTTTTAAAGGATGGCTACTGTTTGATCCTGATGGCCTTTGAGCCTTGACTGCCACACCAGTACTTTAAAGTCTTTCCCCTGTGTCTTTACGGTCTGTAAGATGCTTAGAAAAACCATTTTACTAGAGCTGGAAAAAAAAAATTAACCGTCCCCTTCCTTTTTTCAAAGCACAATTCGATTAGCCAGAGCATCCTCCAGTTCTGCAACTCCTGACTGTGATATGCTTCACATCCAAGACATCCACATCATTTTCTTACTGGGATAAGGTAGGGAAAGGCCTCAGGTTGACTGCTGGATTCAGGAGTTAGCTTAAGCTATCATTAACATTCTCATGTGAAAGCATACAAAATGCATTTCCAATATATATCCTCCAGGGGAATGGAGCTAAGGGAAGTCATCAAACAAGTTTGCCCAGGAGTGGGGAGGAACAAAAGTAGACCCCGCCTAATGTACTTGTAGATCCTTTGCCCACACCCAAAGGCTGGCGAAGGCCCACGGTAAAACCTGACAATCCTTCCTGCCCCCGGTCTAACTTCTCTCGGGGAATGACTAATAAACATGCTCGAAGCTTCTACGGACATGACAGCCAGCTGGTGAGCCAGCCAGGTCTCCACCTCTCATCGAAAGGCTGCCAATGGGAATGCAGAGCAATGCAGCCAATGGGTACGGGGGTCGGGGGCTAGCAGCCCCACCGGGGAAGAGAGGGAAAAAGTAACTCTTGTTTACTGCAAAACCTACATCGGGGCCCCGAGGCCGGCGGGGGGCGAGCAAACGTCAAAGGCGCCCCATCTCCCGAGAGGGAGGCTCCGGGCTGACGGCGCAGGCTCGCAGGAGCCTGGCCTCGCCGCAAGCGCCGTCCCCAAGGCCCGGCGGCTCCGAGCTCAAGGAGGCGCCTGGTTTTCCGGGGGCGGCTCCTTGCAGCGCCGCCCGGGCCGCTCCCAGCTGACCCCGTTCCCGCTCCCGCCGGCCCCCGACTCACCCTCCTCCCCGTAGCGGTCGAAGATTTCCCTCTTGCGCGGGTCGCTGAGCACATCGTAGGCCTCGGCGATCTCCTTGAACTTCTCCTCGGCTCCGGGCTCCTTGTTCTTGTCGGGGTGGTAGCGTAGCGCTTGCCGGCGGTAGGCTCGCTTGATCTCTTCGTCCGAGGCGCCCCGGGGCAAGCCCAGCGTCTGGTAGTAATCCTTACCCATGGCCCCCACCCTCCAGCCGCCGTCCCTACGGCTCCGCCGCCGCCCCCGCCCGGACGCTATATACCCGCCCGGCGGAAGCTTCCAGAGCCCGCCAGCCCTCTCCAGAACCTTCCGCTCCGCCCCTCGCGCCGCACTGCCCAATCCCGGGCACCCGAATCGTAACACGTGATCCCGGGGGCGGGCAGAATTGCCAACGGTTGCGGGATCGAGACGCACTCCTCCGCCTTCTTTGCTCCTCCCTTTTTTGCAACGCCCCCGCCCCCTTCGGGGCGCGAGTCAGTTCTCCCGCGGCCTTCTGGGACCCCCACCTAGTTCAACCAGCTCCCCCGTTGGCACCGCCCTTCTGGAATTTCTATTCTTCTAGGGTGTCGGAGACACCGCCTCTGTGCCCTTCCCACACCTGGGGATCAGAGCAAGCCCCGCCCCTCGGGCCAGGCGGTCCCGCCCCTTTGCCTGGGGCTCAATCATAGATCCTGCCTTAGAGAATTGAAAAAGACTGGAGATCTGGTCAAATCTCCTTCAATAGAAAAAGAAACTGAGGCTTGGAGAAGGCACTTATTCTGGGCTGTTTTCCTTTTTGTCTCTGCCTAACAGACAGCAAGCCTTTAATAAATGTTTGCTATCTTGAAGCGGCTAGTAAGTGGCAGAAGGAAGAAGAATCTGTCTGTATCCACTCCAGATTCATAGCTTTTTCAGACAGGATTCAGTTTAGCTCTACATTTCTTTCCTGACACTGCCACCGCCCTGGTGCAGGCCCATCACCAGGATGGTGGGTCTGTCTGCCTCAAGGGTCTCCCCACTACAGTCCATCTTCACACAGTTCAACTGCAAAAGGGACCTTCCTAAAGCTCAGATCTGACCATGTCACACACACCGTGGCTCCCTACCACTTTCAATATCAAAGAGAATATCCTCTGGCGTTCAAAGCCCTTCATAACCTAAACCTCCTCCTTCACCTTTTTTTTTTAATCACTTTATCTCTTGAACCACTAACCATGTACTCTTTAATTCACAAAAAGATACTCCATCTCTCAGCTCAGGGCATTTTCTCTGGTTGTCCCAGGCCTGGAACCCTTTCCCCTTCAAGTCCCAATTAAAATCCCATCTTCTACAGGAAGCCTTTCCCAATCCCCTTAATACTAGTACCTTCCCTCTATTTATTATCTACAATTTATCTTGTATATAGCTTTTTGTATATGGTTGTTTGCATGTTCTCTCTCTCTCTCATTAGGCTGTTAAGTTCCTTGAGAGCAAGGCCTGTCTTTGTGTTTAACACAGTGCCTGGCACATAGCAGGCATTCAATAAATGCCTATTTACTTATTAAGTGCTTACTAAGTGCCAGGCATAGACAAAAAGAAAACAATCTGTTTTCTAGGAGCTTACATTCTATTGATGGGGAGGGGAAGAGAATAAGGTAGAGAAGTAAATGCAAAGTATATACAAAATAACAATAAATTGGGGGGCATTGGAAAAGGTTTTTTGTGGGAAGTGGCACTCAAGCTGAAGGGAGTCAGGGATTCTTAAATGAAGAGGGGATGAAGGACAGAATTTCTTGCCTAGGAGGCAGCTTGCTGCAGAAGTAGGAAAGCAGACATGTCTATAAAGAGAACATCATCAACTAGTTGAATTTGGCTAGAATGGGGGTGGGAAAAGGGAGAAAGAAAGAGAGAAAGATGAAATCAGTTTAGAAATGTAGGCTGGAGCCAGACTGTGAAGGGCCATAGGAGTCTGCATTTTATCCTGTGACAATAGGGAATCACCGAACCTTCTTGAGCTGGGAAGGGACATGGTCAGACCTGTTCTTCATTAGGAATAGCAATTTGGCAATGGTGTGGAGGAAGAAGTGGAGAAAGGAGAAAGCAGAGGCAGGGAGAGAAATTAGGAAGCTACTGAAGTAGGCAAGGCATGTGCTAATGGGTAGCTTGTAGCTTGTATGGCTCTATAGGAGGGAATTCCTATCTCCAACTGACTGGATACAGAGGGTGAAGGAGGGGAAAGAATTTAGGATGACTGTAAGGGTGGGAATGTGGGTGACTTGTAAGGACTACATACAATATGATCCTGACTCAACAAATATTTGAGGGAGAGCATCCTGGAGCTGATTCCCTTGACCCTCCCATCACAGCATTCAGGTCCATTTCTATGCATCTGACCTTTTCTCTTCAGAGAGGTAAAAGAATTTGGCCCAGCTCACCCAACTGGGAGACATCTGAGCCAGACTCAAACCCAAGGTCTTCAGTGCACTTTGCTCCACATGCTGCTTTTCTGAATTTGTTGAAGAATCAGGAGGATTATAGTATTTAGTTTATCTAGTCCACCCTTTCATTCTAAAGAAAACTGACGTCCAAAAAGGATAAATGACTTGCTCAAGCTCATAAAAGTAGTAAGTAAAAAATAAAAACTTAAGATCTCTCCAACCTTCGATTCAAAAGCATTCGCCCTTTTTAAATGTAAGGGTGTACTGAGGAGAACAATAGCAATAATAGCAGCAGGCATTTATAAATCATTTTAGGGCTTGCCAAAATACTTTACAGATATTATCTCATTTGATCTTCAAAATAAATCTGAAGTAGGCGCTATGAATATCCTCATTTTACAGATGAGGAAACTGGGGCAGAGGTGAAGTGATTTGTCCAGGGTCACACAATTACTAAGTATTTGGGGTCCCATTTGAATTCAGGACTTTCTGGCTCCAGGCCTAGTGCTCTGTCCACCATACTACCTTCAGAATACCTTTTGTGCCTCTTTACTGAGGTTAGTTCTTGCACCTTTATACTATATTGAGGATGATTCACTTCTAGTTTATATAACCAGGCTAATCCTTGGACCTGGCCTCTAAGAGGGAGTATGAAGAACTGGAGAGAGGTTGGATTGGTGAAGTAAACTGGTTGGAAACACACCCAGTTCCCTGGAGTGAAGTCGGTGCAACCATGTAGCCTTTTCAGGGAAACTTGCTCTCTCGGGAACCTTGGAGCATTAGGGATGTGGCCTGATGAGGGCTCCTAGACCAAATGAGGAGCTCTAGAAAGCCTGGCATGGTGGAACAGTGGAGGAACTCCTGGGCAACAAAAAGTTCCTAGATCAACCCTGGGTTCAGAACAGAGGTTTGGTAGTGGACAAATCCATGATGGAAGTTTTGCCCTTCACTGATACTGTGAATTACGTGGACTGTGCAGGTTTGGTAAAGGAGTTAGTTCCCTAGCAACACTAAGCACCTTCTCCTTTCAAGGAGGTTCTCAACCCCTTTGTACTACTATAAATTTGAAGGAGTATAGATCCCTGAGAGAAGTAGAACACATTGGAGACGGGAGGATGGTCTTGGCTGTATACAGCTTTGTGTACAAGTCCTCTGCAATTTCTGTAGAGTTAAATGAAGTCTGTCTTATATGTCAAGTTTTGTTAGCCTGAGTACTTTCAACGAAGCTATGTAGGCTTTTTCCCTTTTATTTTTGGTGGGGAGAATTCTAGACATGATCCAAATCCCAAGAGAAATCCTTAAGTTTAAGGATTTTAAGCAGGAGTCAAAGGGAGCAATATTTAGTAAAAGAAGCTCCAAATATGAAGCTAGTCCATGTAAACACAGAGCTTCACTTCTGGGCCACAGGTTACAAAATTATAAGACATCCTGGGGTCAAGACAATTGAACTCTCTTCTTCTTCTTCTTCTTTTTTCTTTAAAGGCAATTGGGGTTAAGTGACTTGACCAGGGTCACACAGCTAGTAAGTGTCAAGAGTATGGTCTGAGGCCAGATTTGAGCTCAGGTCCTCCTGACTTCAGGGCCTGTACTCTATCCCCTGGGCCACCTAGCTGCCCCTGAGCTCTCTTCTCCAGAGAGATATAACACTGGATAAGTAATTTAATCCCTTGCTTTCCTCATTTGTAAAATGGAGTTAACACTTCCCAAACTTATTGAATAGGGTTGCTGCATAATCAAATAAAATATATGAAAGCTTTGAAAAATCATTATTATATTTCAATATTTATATAAATAGTCCTACTCATCTGAGATTCAATCTTATTTCTCCAAGCACCTGTATCTTTACCTGTATGTCCTGCTGACACCTACAACTCAAACTAAGAACTATATTATACTCATCATAATTCTCCAAACTCTGAGTAGCACAGTGCCTGGCACATAGTAAGCACATAATAAATGCTTGTTTCTTTCCTTTCCCTGTAACCTTTCTAATTCTGTTGATGGTACCACTACCACAACCAACTACCACTATGACCTTTTGTTGATTCTGCTTCTATGATCTCTTTTATACTTGGTGCCTCCAACCCACGCACAGAATCTGAGTATTGGATGGGTCTAACTTTATTAGGAATCCCCTCCAGCTTTTGCTTGAAGATCTTCAGTCAGTAGAATCTACTACCTCTGGAGGTATTTGGTTCCACTTTTGGACAGCTCTAATTGTTAGGAAGTTTTTGCTTATATGGAGCCTAAATATGTCTCTTTGTAAATTTCGCTTGTTCCTATTTCTACCCTCTGGAGCCAAGAGAACAAATTTAATTTCTCTTAGGAACACTGAGGATAGCTACCAAGTTCTCCCAGCGTCTTCTCTTCTCAAGGATAAATACACCGAAATCCTCAAGTGCTCCTCATACAATCAGGAGTAGAGGTCTTTTGCCATCCAGATCACCCTCTTCTAGTCACTCAACAGTTTCTTAATCCCCTTCTAAAATACGGTGCCTAAAGTATATATAGTATATAGTATAAAGCAATATACTTGATGTGGTGTGACCAGGACAGAGTGCAGCAAATTATTACTATGCCTATATTTGTATTAGTTTTCTTGGTAGCAGCTATATTGTTGACTCATATTGAGCTTTTGGTGCACTAAAATCCCCAGATTTTTTTTAAAGATGAACTATTATCTAGACAAACCTCCCCCATTTTGTAGTTGAATGCAAGAATGAGATTTTAATGAAATCTTATTTGATAGAGGCAGCTAGGTGGCACAGGTAGAGTGCTTGGCCTGGAGTTCAAACCAGGCCTCAGACACTTACTGGGCAAGTCATTTAACCTGTCTGCCTCAGTTTCCTCAACTGTAAAGTCAAGATTATAATAGTACTTACCTCCTAGGGTTGTTGTAAGGATTAAATCAGATATTTATAAAGTGTTTAGCATAGTAACTGGCACACAGTAGGTGCTTAATAAATGATTATTCCTCCTTTTTGTTATTGTTTAGTGAACTAGTCATGTCCAGTTCATGTGGCCCCAGTTGAGGTTTTCTTGACAAAGATACTGAGTGCTTTGCCATTTCCTTCTCCAGCTCATTTTACATATAAGGAAAATGAAACAAACAGGGTTGGATGACTTGCCCAGGGTAACACTCCAGGCCCAGAGCTCTATCCATCGCACCACCTAGCTGCCCCCATTCCTCTTCTTATCAAATTTAGTTTTACTGGATTCAGTCCAATGTCAATGCCTATCAAAATCTATTTGAGTCCTGTGTCATTCACTGGTTAGCTGTCCCTTTCAGCATTGTGCCATGTACAAATTGGATAAACATCTATCTATACTTCCATCCAAGCAGAAAACCAAGTCTAGATCCTAGGGGCCATCAACAAGAGTCTGTTCTAAGTTGACACTTGAGCCATTAATGATGATTATTTTGTTCTGGTCATTCAACCTTTTCTTAAGCCTTTTCTTAAATTGTTGGGAAGAAGCAACATGGAGAGGGCTGGACCTGGCATCAAAAGACATTTCGGCTTGAATCCTGGCTTTGTCATCTATTGTGTGTATGATGCTGGGCAAGTCCATTCACTTCTCGAGGCCTCAGTTTCCTCATTTGCAAAGAGAACAAGATGACCTGTGGGGTAGCTTCCTGATCTAGATCTGTGACTCTATTATCCCTTCCAGATCAAAATCTATTTTGAGTTTACTGTTTAATCTATATCTTTTTGAACTGAATAGCAACAGACACTTTGTCAAATGCTTTGCTAAAATCGAGGTTGACTACATCTATGGTATTCCTCAATCTACCTGTCTAGTAAATCTTTCAAAAAAGGAAATGAAGTTAATCTGACATAACCTACTCTTGATGAAGCCATACTTACATTTTATGATTATTTTTTCCTTTCTCATATGTTAACTAAGTATTTCCTTAATAAAATGTTCTAGAATTACATTGCAAACTTTATTCTCTTCTATTTTTTAAAAACTGGGACAATTGGCCTCCATTCTAGTACCTCTAGTTTGCCATGATCTTTCAAAGATCATATCTGCCAGTTCTCTGAAAATCCTAGGATGCAGGGAAATCTTAGTCAAGTGACTTAAATTTAAGGGCAGCTTGGTGTTCTTTTCAAGATTTCCTTACTTGTATTGACTAATATAAAGTTCATGTCCATTTTTTTTTTTTGTTCCTTTCCAGTTCCCATAACATTCTCTTTAGGAAATAAAACAGAACCCAAATAAGAGCTGAACAGCCAGCTCTTCCTTCTCTCCATCAGTTATCCTCATCCCATCCATTCCAAGCAGTGGCTGTATCTCTTCTTCATGTTTCCTCGATCCCCTCCCACACTCCCCCTCCCTTCCATAGCTTTAAAACTCCTTTTTGGTTGTTTTCTTTTCCTCACCAGTCTCTTCTTTACAGGACCATGCCATGTTCTTGTATTCATCCTGCCTGCTACCTGCCCTTGCTTGGTTTTTTAGTATGCTTTTAAAATCTAAGTTGATTGGTGACCTCTCTACGTAGACAACTCCACCCTTACCTCCTCATTTGAGTTCCTTTTCTTTGTGGCTTCAGAATTTCTGGAGAGCTCCCTAGCCTTCTTGGGCTGACTTTCCCTTCAGAATTTTAGTCCATTTAAATCAACAATTCAAAGAATGAAATAGCATTTATTTAGCACTTACTATGTGCAAAGCATTAAGTGCTGAGGATATCTTGTATTTAAGCAGAAAAGCAAGGCAATCTCTGCTCTTAAGGAGCTTACATTCTAGGAGGAAACAACACACATAGGAGCTTTTAGCTGCAAATCAGATGGAAAGACCCAGTAACATCGAACCATTTGAAGATTCTAAGGATTCTGGTGGTGGGAACTTTATTTTGTGGTTCTTCAGTAATTGTGGCTGCTGAAGAGGTGAGGACTGCAGCATTTGCAGAAGTAGTTGCCAGGTTGCGTCTCCATGGTGTTATCTATCCCTTGAATTGGAGGGTCCATGGTCTGGGGGTGCTGCTCTTTCATAGGCTATTAGGGGCTTTCCTGTCTGGTGATGGCAGTTGATGGTGGCTGGATTGTTGGGTCCCTTCTCCTCAAGAGCTGCTCCCCTCGATGATTGGGTGCAGGATCAGGTTGGAAGCTGGGCTGGTGTCCTGCATAGTGTTGCTACTGCTAGAGCTCCTGAGCATAAGGTCTTCCCTGGTGCGCTGCTTTCACCTTAGGTCTGAAGGGTAAGAAGTGGGGGTGGTTTGGCTCCTCTAGCACATGTGACCCCTATCTCCCTCAATCAGTTTTGATGCTTTAGCCATTCAATAACACCTACTATGTGGAAAGTGCTATTTTAATTGCTAGGGATACAATGTAATGGGCATTGATAAGGAGAGTCCCCCGATCAATCTAATGAGTCTTTGTCAGAGGTCAGACCAGCAGCTCCCCATGCAGACTGGGCATGTACTTTGATGACTTGAGAGGACAGAGAGGGCTTCTGATTGGGTTTCTGGGACTGAGGCTGCCCTTGAGATGACTGGCTGTCTGGGACTCAGGAGAGTGGACTCTTGTTAGAGAAGCCACCTTTTTTCAAAGATCTAAAAATGACTGCAACAGATTGTTTGCTGCTCTTTTGCCTTGGTTTTTTTTTTTTTTTTTTTTTTCCACCTTTCCCATTCAGAAGATAGATCAGTGCAGTGCAGAGAGTACCTGTGAAAGAAAACCCTGGCCCACACACAGATGCAACCACTCCTCATAATAGTTGTTATGGGTGCACAACATATCTCCCCTCCCTCCCCCCAAGGCTGCTTGTGGCCCAAAGGACTTCTGGCGGCCTGTGAAAAATGTAGGTTTGCCACTGGGCACTCTGTCACATGACCCGAGGCAACCAATCATCATCAGTCTGTCTCTAGTCTGACCTATCTGGGCCGAAGTTTACAGGTAGTGCAGGTCTGGGTTAGAAGCACTACAGATTTCTGTTCTGTGTCTGAGAGTGCCTAAGAAGTGTCTTTCCCAGGCAGCTGATGAAGTTCATGCAGAAGCACTTGGCAGTAGACCTACAATATTCCTGAATTCCAATGTAGAGGAAGGGAGATTTTATTTGCTGGGCAGCACGATTCTATAATCTAGCCTTCCAGTCAGAGAAAGGGGTTTTTCTAAGTAGCATGATTCTGGACTCTAGCTTTCTAGTCAGAGAAGGGAGTGTTTTGTGACAGTGACATTCTTGGGGTTTGCCTCATAAGTAAACACAAGTTCAAGAGGATGGAGACCTGCAAAGGACATGAAGAAGAAGAAATCAAAGCTATCCATAGTCACATGAAAAAATACTCTATATCACCACTGATTAGAGAAATTCAAATTAAAACAATTTTGAGGACCACCTAACACCTATCAGATTGGTTAACAAAAATGGAAAATGATAAATGTTAGAGGGAATGTGGAAAGATTGGGACACTACTGCACTGTTGGTAGAGTTGTGAATTGATCCAACCATTCTGGAGAGCAATTTGGAACTATGCCCAAAGTGCTATAAAACTATGCATACTCTTTGATCCAGCAATACCATTTAGTAGGCCTGTATCCCAAAAAGATCAAAGAAAAAGGAAAAAGACCTATATGTACAAAAATATTTATAGCAGTGGCAAAGAACTGGAAATGTTGGAAATGGAGGGGATGCTCATCAACTGGGGAATGGCTGAACAAGTTATGGTATATGATTGTGATGGAATATTGTTGTGCTGTAAGAAATGATGAGCAGGACGGTTTCAGAAAAAGCTGGTTAGACTTATATGAACTGATGCGAAATGAAGTGAGCAGAACTAGAAGAATATTGTACACAGTAACAGCAATATTGTATGATGATCAACTCTGAATGACTTAGTTACTCTGATCAGTACAATGATCCAAGACAGTTCTAAAGGACTTATGATAAAAAATGTTGTCTATCTCCAGAGAGAGAACTAATGGAGTCTGAATGCAGATTGAGGCGTGATTTTTTTCACTTTATTTTTCTTGCCCTTTTTTTTCCCCCAACATGGCTAATATGGAAATATGTTTTGCATGATTTCACATTTATAACATGCCACATTTCTTATCTTCTCAATGGATGGGGAGAGGCAGGAGGGAGAGAAATCAGGACACAAAATTTTAAAAAATGTTTAAGCTGAATAAATAATGTATTTATTTAAAAAAAAAGTATGACACCTGGTCTGCTAGACAGAGGGATAGTTCCTTTTTAGAGAAAGAAGAGAATTGCTTATGTGACCCCTGCAGTCAATGAAGGCTTAAAGGCAAATCACAGAAGGAGGGGTGGGTGGGAAGGGAGGCAAAGAAACCTTGCTACTCCCCGTTATTATAATGATTTATTTGTATAATGCAGGTCCAATGGGACAACAGGAAAAGGATTGCTTATTTAGCAGCCCCAAAGCATGTTTGTCTTCTAGGGGAAGCTCAAACCACAGGATGACATTATGTGTCTTAGAAGAACTATACAGGAGAATTAGGGATCTACTGAAATGTCAAAGGGTTGCCTTGATAGCAACCCAAATTCAGTTCCTTCAGAAAGGTTATTATGAATGCTTTATATATTTCAGTATCTTGGCCAGAGTGTTGTGCAGCCTTTGTCATCTGCAATTTCTGTGGGATGAAATAAAGGCCATTTTATACCTGATTTACATTTGTTATCTTGAGGGCTTGTATAAGGGATGCTAAACGTAATCTATACCAAAGTGATATTTGGAGATTCTCCCAGAATAAATTCTGGGTGAAAGCAAAAAAGCCAAAGAGAAAATATAACCCTCTTGGGTCAGTTCTCAGGATTGGATCTAGTCTAAATAAGCCCAGAGCACTGGGAGGCCCTGAACCATGGGCTATATAAAGACAAAAATGAAATAATTCCTGCTGTCATGGAGCTTACATTCTACTGGGGGAAGGGGGTTGTAACATGTACTTATCCTGTCTCTGACCTCTGAAATCTGCTCTACCAAATTTTAGAGTGAATGTCAGACTATGCTCAACTTTCTTCTCTATCACAAATCCTCAGGTTTAATGTTGACACTAAGGTTTTCATCATTTCTTTTATAACAACCAATTCTTCCTTGGTGATTAGATCCAGAATAGAATTTTCTATTCTGCTGTTGGCTGCTGTACCTTTTGAAGGATGAATTATTAAGGTGAAGGAAGAGATAATTAGTTGCTCTGCTTTTGGCAGAGAGTAAACTTTAGTAAGTGGGTTAATGGAAGCCCCCCATCACTGCTATATCTTGAATGCTGCATCTCTTTTCTTTCTCCAGTGAAGTGGTCTCTTGCAGAGTCATATTGTTTCTTCCCTGCACTGCTTTTCACTCAAATGCTCTTCATGATGCTTCTCTCCTCTGCTTCCTAGATTTCCTCATGAACATATTTTCTTAATATGGTGTGCTACTTCTTTCGTCCTTCCCATTTTACTTATATACTTATTTCTTTGGAATACAGTGCTTACACAGAGGTACCACAGTGTCAGTGGCTGATTCAGGGACTGGGACTGACCGAGGCTTCATATTCCTGACAGCCTCTGTGTATTTGCATAAACCATGAGTCATGGCTCTCATCCCACCAAGTCTCAGTAATACCCATGAAGTCAAATATGCCTCCTTGCATTAGGATCTTTTATTATTCATGCTTTGCAACTTTGTGTATACAACTGATGATTTTATTGCTGGCTCATTTCTTGGATTTCCTCTCTTGTGAACTTCTGGGTCTCTGTGATAGAATGAAAAATTTCCGGGTCTTCTCTGAGATCCCTAAGACTTGTATATAAGAGTCTGCCTCTGCTTTACACATGCCTCTTCCTTCTGATTGGCACTCCTTCCTTTCCATACCCCCTGCCACTTCTCCTTTTCTGGAATCCTGAATCTTCTTATCTTGAATCTTACATGCTGTCAACTTCAAGTTTTATATAGTATTCAACTGAGCTCCTCTAGTCGATCCCTGGTGCCTCTTTGCGTATGACATCAGAGGCAGGTGCAAAATCAGACATGCCTCCTAGAGACCCCACTCCTCCCTCTAACTTCCCCTACCCCATACCTTATCACCTAGCAACATTTATGTGTGAAGGATGGAATCCAGGCATCTTTATACTGAACTAGAAGGAAAGAGTATATCTTGGTGTAATCTGGCTATACTAATCCAAACGGTAGCCTCTTATACAATTCTTAATCCCTTTCTTATGCCTGCTATGGACTAAAGATCACAGCACTTGTGGGCCCAATACTATTCCACACACCTCACTTTACTTACTGAGACCTAGTTGTATTCTTTGTTCTGAATCTTTCTTCTCTTGCATGTGGCTACCTCATTCTGCCCTCACCCCCTCTTCAGGTGTCTCAAATTATGCCTAAGGTTAAAACACTCTGGTAATAAAAGGTTTATTGCTTTTAGGAGTAGCTAGTCCCCCTTCTGTAAAAGCCTCTAAATCCAAAAGCACCTGCAACAGATCCGGACTATGTATTTACTACTATTCTTACATAGTAGCTACTCACTATGGTATCTGGTTTGCTAGACATAGTTTCCTTCCTCCCTTTAGATTTTTAAGACTTCAAAAACACTTGCTCTCTGTTATTACCCTGGTTCAGTCCTCTTGTCTGAACCATTGCAGTAGATTCCTCTCTGATCTGTCTCTAGCCAGTCACTCCCCTCTCTTTGTCATACAGCTGTCAAATAATCTCCTTAAAGCACAGGCTAGCTGAGGTCACTCCCCTGCTTTGGCCTTCAGAAGCTTTCCATTGCCTCTAGGATAAAGTATAGACTTACTTGGCATTTTACAGTTTTTAATTTTGGTTCTAAGCTACCTTTGTGGCATTATTTCATGGTACTACTCTCCTTCATTTTTACTGTTGTTCAGTTGTGTCTGATTCTTCATGATACCATTTAGGGTTTCTTGGCAAAGATACTGGAGTGGTTTGCCACAAAGTGGTTTCTTTCTTCAGCTCATCTGAAAGATGGGGTAACTGAGGCAAACAGGTTTAAGTGACTTCCCCAGGAAGTCACAGTTAGTAAGTGTCTGAGGGCAGATTTGAACTCAGATGAGTCTTCTTGATTCCAAGTCCTGTGCTCTACCCACCGCACCACCTAGCTGCCTTCTCCTGCACACACACTATTTTTGGCAAGCTGGACTGCTAAACTGTTCCCTGACCTCATGCTGTAGTTTCCTGCCTCAGGGAAATTTCGATAAAACATTGCTCATGCCTGAAATTGGCTCTTCCCCCTCTCTCGACCTGTCACATCAATGCCCACCTGTTGAAATCTTTCTCATTCTTGAAAGCCTGATTAGGTCTCACTTCTTCACCCTTCCCTAATTTGCCTAGTCCAGGTTCCCCACCCCTTCCAAAAGTGATCTCATGTTGTTGATAGTACTTTGTCTAGACCTCCCTTCACCCTGCTGTGTCATGGTCACATTCCCTTTGTATCCCCTTTAGTGGTGTATGTCATTTCTGCTCCACCTTCAATTCATTTTTAAGCTCTTTGAGTGCAGGAATGTCTTGTTCTTTAGTTCTGTATTCCTGGTACTAAACAGGAGGCCTTGCACAGAGCAGGTGCCTAACATTTGTTGAACTGAATTGAGTGGTACAAAATATGCATGAAAAAGAAGATTTGCATCCCCTCTGAATGTTGACTGTCTTCTTGAATGCTCAAAAATTTCATAACCTGGTAATGCTAATTTTCCTTACATTTGGCTAGGTTAATCCTCAGATATAATCAGTTACAGGACTGTAAAGAAAGCCTTTCCTCCTTGGTAGGACCTGCTAGAACTTCTGTTCCACTGGAATAACCTTTAAGAACTCAGAGTCACCTCCAAATCATGAAGGGAATCATTGACTTTTAGAGTAGGAAGGGAACTTCTTTTTCTCACTTTCAGATAAGGAAGAGAACTTCCTTTTTTGACAAACCCAGATAAGGAAACTGAGGACTGGTTAAGTGATGTGCCAGTGATTCAAATAGGTAGTAAGTAGTAGAGCCTAGATTTGAAAGAAGTTTTTTCCAACTCCAAATCCACTGCTCTTTCTGGAATCACAGAATTTTTTTTTCTTATTGAATTTATTTTTTTTTTATTTCAAAAAAGCATTTAGCTTTGTTGAATAAAATAAAAAATGGGCTCTTTTACAACAAAGGCTTTTAGCATATATATGTATATATACATATAAACAAAAGATCATGGCTTTCAAGCTGGAAAGGATCTTTTTTTTAATTAATTAATTTTTAGTTTTTGACGTTCGCTTTCATAAGATTTTGA